TCATAGAATTTCCGTCTGATTCGCGCTTTCGTTTTGAAGCGTTACTGTGGCTTTGAAGGTTTCTGATGTATGGTTGCCGTTTATTTTTGTACTGGTTGCCAGAGGAAGCAAGTCAAACTAAAAAACAAATACAGATTTTTTTAAATATCGAATAACATTTGAGAGTTCAACGAAATTTTAACTTACAATTCGTAGGGCATTCCATACTTCTTTTAGATCTTTTCGTGATCTCTGGCTGACCGTTATTTGAATATTAGATTCTTCGCGAGTTTAAAGAAAAAGAGGGGTTGGTCCCTAGACTCCCTGGGACAACGCTCTGGCGCCAGAACTATAAAACACTAAGTGCAAATCAACTGTATTGGCACCATTAATGTATGTTTTCTAAATTACTGGAAAAACCGTTAAGAAGCCTCCGTTGGATAAAATGTTGTTAAGTTTTTTTTGTCTTTGTCAAACTGAAATGAGTTGCCTGGTGACTCAGGCCACGTAAAACTGGCAAAACCTTTTATATTCAGAAAAATGCAAAACTACCTGAAGGCACAATTGCCGACGTTATAGCACAGATGTTTAAGGATGTCGTCCATGGTGAGTTGAAATGAATGGAAAACTCATTCATAGGGATATTCATTTAAAGATAATGATCTGGAAAAGCTGTATGCAGCTTGTTTTCCGTACCTGACTTCATTGCTGTTTTAAGGCACTCGATCTGAATCGAAGTGAGGGAGCGGCGAAAATATATTTCAGGTGTTTATTTATTTGATATTTAAAATGTCGTACAAAGAAAAATAACTGAAGATTATTACAAATGAAAATGAATTATGACACAAAATGAACCGAGTGAAGGATGCATATTTCAATTCCATGGGAGAAAAACTTATTTTTTGCGTTCATGGAATTCAAACATGGCAGTTATTTATTGCTACCTCTCCATTTTTTTTCATTTGAAGGGATGATAGAGAAATTTATGGTTGCTAAGGCCTGTCATCAAAATCTTCGCCTTATCCTCAAAAAAGGAAGACGAGAAATTTTAAAACTGATTAACGATGCTTTCCATAGTACTTTTTAATGTTTATTTGGACTTTCTTCGCAAGGATAATAACAATAACAATATGTTCACATTTTATATACAGTGAATAATTTACCGCGACACGTTCTTTCTGGCGTTCACGCAAAAGCAGAAATACGAGGAAGGAAAAAATCATCACTGGAGAAAATGTAATTGTAAGGTGGGGGAGAAATAACTGTTTACAAGAATTTCTTTATAATTACAACCCTTCTTTTCTGATTCAAGCACTATTTCACAATATTGTGATAATTTAAATTATTATTATTCATTTGTCATGTATATGTGCACGATCCTTCGCAGTAAAGCACTATTTGAGCAATAGTCAAAATCAGACCTGAAAAAAATTTCAGGCCTGTACGGGATTCGAACCACTGACCTCTGCGATACTAGTGCAGCGCTCTACCAATTGAGCTAACAAGCCAACTGGGAGCAGGCCATCAAATTAATTCGACATAAACCCGTAGATGATATATCAAACAACAACAAACATATGAAACATATGTATGAGCTGCGGTCATGAAACGTATATGTGCACGATCCTTCGCAGTAAAGCACTATTTGAGCAATAGTGAAAATCAGACCTGAAAAAAATTTCAGGCCTGTACGGGATTCGAACCACTGACCTCTGCGATACTAGTGCAGCGCTCTACCAATTGAGCTAACAAGCCAACTGGGAGCAGGCCATCAAATTAATTCGACATAAACCCGTAGATGATATATCAAACAACAACAAACATATGAAACATATGTATGAGCTGCGGTCATGAAACGTATATGTGCACGATCCTTCGCAGTAAAGCACTATTTGAGCAATAGTGAAAATCAGACCTGAAAAAAATTTCAGGCCTGTACGGGATTCGAACCACTGACCTCTGCGATACTAGTGCAGCGCTCTACCAATTGAGCTAACAAGCCAACTGGGAGCAGGCCATCAAATTAATTCGACATAAACCCGTAGATGATAAATCAAACAACAACAAACATATGAAACATATGTNCAGCCCATCAGCTGAAAACAGGAGGATGGTGTCTAGCAGAACCTTGTGGGCTATCATTATTGTTTTCTGTAAGCACTGTTGTATTTATGTAAGAGAGTATCAAGATGAAATGCGATATTTAAACCTATTCCAAGATTTAAAAATAATTAATTTAGACTCAAGATATGTGTTCTCACGATAATACCCGTATGTGCCTTAAATATCCGGGCCTGGGGCAAAAACGAACTCGCGAGAAAGCAAGGGACACGCGCACGGGAGACACGCTGTGGAGGACCCGTGCTACAGGACATTATGAGAATAGAGTTACCGGTCCCTGGGAAATTACAAGGCAACACAGGACTGAAGCTGATTTGCGCCTCTCTTTCGAATCCGATTGGTTACGTTAGCTTCAGACCATGTTCGTGAGGTAATTTTTGCAACTCATGTGATCAAAAAGACAAAATACATTGCTGGTCCTGTTCGTTCCATTTTCAACTGCATTGTTCTCCCAAACAATCACCTCTAAAATTATCAAAAAAATAAAAAATAAATAAAATAAACAAAAGGAGCCTCATCCACTGCCTTAACTTTCCTTTCAGTTGTCATTTTTCATCATTTACGTTTCATATGAAAACAATCTGTCCAAAAAGGCGCTTAATTGAAAAATTTCATCCATCAAATTTATTTTGCGCGTAGCATGATGCTGAAATCGGCGACATATTTTGGGTACTTAAGATAAAAAAGCAACGATATTAATGACGTCTGGTTGGATATCTCCGAAAATTTATAGATCATGTAAGTTTCGGTCTGAGTTACGAACATTCTCTACCGTTGGTTAATTTTTCAATCGCTTCGAGAGGTAACCATCTCCATCTAAAATTATTTTTTAACCAAAAAGTCGGAAATCTCGAATCTTGCAATATGAGCGGGCAAAATCCTGATTGGTGGAGTAACAAGAAAAAGGCAATATTTACATGGTCAGCGGTCTCTTTAAGAGTGGAGCTTTGCTTCCTTTCCCGAGGAACTGTTGGTTATCCGATCCTCGCAGAGCCGTCTGTCAAGGAAACCAGCAATCATTTCGGCCATCCCAAAATTACAAACTTGGAAGTATATTTTCTCACTCAGGAACTCGAACAAAGACTAAAATTATACATGCTCTCCTTTATTGAATTCTCACGCACGTGAGACGGTTTAGATCACACGCGACCGGTTTAATAAAGTGCGGACCACAACACAGGTGAAAATGCTTCGTTTGAGAAAGACGTATTGCTAAATGGGGTCTGCCTTAGAGTGAAACGTGTGTGTACAGAGGATTGTTTAGGCCTAAAACCCTTTTAATAATTTAATAGTGCGATACTGGTAATAAATTCTTAGAGGTTGTTGCAATTTTGCTCCGCGTCAATGTTATCATCTCTCTGCTATGTGACGTCATTTTCCTATCTTTATCTATTGGTAGTTTTCATAGGCATAAGCAGTAATCATGTTGTCTTACAAATATAACTTTTAATGAAAATGTCATATCGAGTTAAGGTTACTTCCTACCTTCGCGGGTGTCGTTCGGAAAAAAATTTGTACGCGCGCCAGTTTGAAAAAAACCCTAATAAACTAATATCAAAACAAAGCTTAATAAATGTAGTTTACGATAATAATATAGTTTAGGCGATTTTTTCATTTGGGAAGTGTCAGGAGCCGGTAAGGCGTGAAACGACCGAGGGTCCTTCTCTTGAATTTATCGGGTATCGGATCCCGCGGCACCACAGGCGTCCCAAGTTCACGTCTCGGGTAAAAGCGAAGGATTATCTCTTGAAAGCGTCACGCGTTGAGTGACGCGGTGTTAAGTTACGCGAGCAACCGTTGAGAATTTGAAAATTAAACGAGACTTACCTGGAAGTTGAAGTTTGACTGAAATTCTATTTAGTCACAATCTGTACCTAGGGATCACATGAGATTGCAGCAAGTATGCGCACGTCAGTTTTTGAAGCTCGATTATGAATGCACTGCCAATGTATCCTGTAGTAGGTACTG